CCGCACCAGGCTTCGGGACCACATCACTCCCACCCTCGCTCGCCTCCACTGGCTCCCCATCCCCCAGAGGATTGATTTCAAGATCCTCATCCTCACCTACAAGGCCATTCACGGCCTTGCTCCCTCCTACCTCTCCAACCTACTATCCCCCTACCTACCTGCCCGTACCCTCCGTTCCTCTGGCTCCGGTCTGCTCCACGTCCCCCGCCCCAACCGCCCTACTATCGGTGGTCGGGCCTTCAGCCTCTCAGCCCCGAGGCTCTGGAACTCCATCCCCCAGTGCCTTCGCCTTGCTTCCTCCCTTTCCTCCTTCAAGGCCGGTCTCAAAACCTTTCTCTTTGACCATGCCTTCAGCTCCCCTCTCGACTCTCTTCCTCCTCCTCGCTCCCTCCCTTCCCTCCCCTCACCCTGACCATTTCCCCCCTCCTCTCTCCCTCCCTTCCCTCCCCTCACCCTGACCATTTCCCCCCTGCTTGGGTCATGACCCAACTGTGCAGCGCCTTGGGACGTCCTCCTGACGTGAAAGGCGCTCTATAAATGGAATCTTGTTGTTGTTGTTGTTGTTGATGTGGTCGCGAAGCCTGGTGCGGGACAGTACACGAGCTGCCCATGAATGGAGACAACATTCTTGGATTAATTTGCAAGCAGCAGGCAAGCTTGCCAGTGTTAAGAGTTTTTTATCTGGTTTAACTTCAACAGTAGCCCAAAGCAAGCTCTGGGTTTCCAAGCCTTGGTTGGTGCCAACCTGTGTATAAACTCTCTGGGGTTACATAAAATGAGTGTGTCCCTCTGGAAAAAGAGTTTTCACATCAGAGCAGACACACAGAAACAATACTTGGAACCCTCAGATTTGTTTGGTGATTTTTAAGCATGGTGATCGGTTTCCATATGTGTCAAACACCTGGCTTAACAAATACAGCAAGGGAATTGCTCCTTCAACCAGATTCTCAATCCAGACATATATATACATGTATATATATAAATACACACATGTACATATATAAATAAATCTGTTCAGATTAATTTTGTCTTGATGGAATGCTCTCTGGTTCTTCAGAAGCCTCTCCATTAGAAGACAGATGTATTTGCCTGTCACTGGATAATCGTTAGACCTAATTTAGAAACCATATTAGAAACCTTAATCGGTACTAATAATGTATGAAAGGAAAAGCTTGCATGTTAATAAATCATTTCACAAGCTAAAACATTTTTGCATTCATTTATCCAGTCATCAATGTAACAGTACCGTTAATAAATATAGTTAAGTGGGATTGCAGATGTCTGACTCAATGCAGAAATTCTCCCATGGAGATCAGAAGGCAATCAAACAGTTAGGGAGCCTTTTGAAGTGACAACTAAATTCCTGCTTGTGTTTAATAATGTAAAGTACACTAACACCGGGATTAAAATACTTGCTGTTCAATCACACCTTCTCTAATAAAGAACTTAAACTATACAACTTTGCAATAACATGAGGCTTATTGTGACACATGTTTTCATCAGGTCACCAGGCTGTTGAAGGGAGGGAAGTGCTTTAGGTTGTCTGTCCTGAAGAGTACTATTTCTCATTTGAAGAATATCTTATCACTCAATTTCTACCATCTGACAGCTTGTACTTATATTGTTTCAATAGCTTTAATTTCTTAATGGGATTTGAAATACTCAGAGGAATGTGCCATTTTTACTTGGTTATGTGATACAACCACTGTATTAACCATTTTTCCCAAATGTACTAATATTATAATTTTAATTATTTATAGGGCTCACTTGTTGAGCAAATTGCTCATCAATACGCAGTCTACTCTATCTGAGAATATGTATAAGAATATGTCTGCTCTATCTGTGACCTGGGCTTCCTCTGCTTCCTCGTCCTCCTGCATCTCTCTGCCGTGTTCGACAGTCGATCACGCCATGCGCCTCCACCACCTCTCCTCTCTCATCCATCTTAGTGAGACTGCACTCGCATGGTTCAAGTTCTAGTTAACCAGCCTCCTCCATTTCATCTCAGAAAATGGTTTCTTCTCTCACCCCCATCCGGTCACCTGTGGGGTGCCCCAGGGCTCCATCCTTGGCCCTCTACTTTTCCTTATCTGTATGCTCCCTCTGGGCGATCTCATCTGCAGACGCAGCGTAAACTTCCACATGTATGCGGGTGACACACAAACCTACTTTGCCTCCTTCAGCACCAACTCCAGGTCTGCCGATGTTCTATCAGCTTGTCTGGCAGACATCAGGGTCTAGATGAATGCCAAGTTCCTGCAGCTGAATGTGGACAAGATGGAAGCCATACTTCTTGGCTCCCGTCAACATCTTCACTCCTGTGGATCTGAACTTCTCAATCTCCCTGGGCCCTCCCTCACGTTCGCTGAACCAGTGCGCAATCTAGGCATCTGGTTCAACCCCCAGCTGTCCTTCCTCCCCCACATCCTTCCATCTCCGCCACATTCCCCGCTTCCGACCGTACCTTCCCCAAAAGCAGCTGAAACCCTTGTGCATGAGTTTGTCACCTCCCGCCTGGACTACTCAAACGCACTCCTCCCCAGCTCCACTATTCAAAAGATCCAGCTCATTCAGAACTCTGCTGCCTTCATACTGACTCGGACCAAACTCCGTATCCACATCTCATCAGTTCTGGTTAGGCTCCACTGGCTCCCCATCATTGAACGAATCGACTTCAAGATCCTCACACTCGTGTTCAAATCCTTTCACTCTCTGGCACTTCCCTACCTCTCCGACCTCCTCACTCCCCAATCCACCACCAGGCACCTTTGCTTGACTGGCACCGAACTCCTGCTCAACCCTCGCACCCTCTGCCCCACCATTGCAGGTCGCGCTTTCAGCCACTACACCCTGAAACTCTGTAACACTCTCACTCAATCCCTCCGCCTTGCCCCCTCTTTCCCCTTTTTCAAGTCCCGTCTGAAAACCTTCCTTTTTGACTGTGCTTATGGCCACCTCTCCCCCACCAGCTCGGAGTCAGGCTCCGCCACTATTAAGTACTCTGAGACACTACCCTGCGTGGAGGGCGCTATACAAGTGAAATTGTTGTTGTCTAAGTGATTTGAATCTGTATGAAACTAAGAAAGAGAGAGACTAGATCTCACAGAACCAACACTAAATCTCAAAAGCACTGATTTATTGCGATCTTGACAGGCTGCAAAATACAACAGATGTTGATATAAATCTATGACATCAATCAAAGTTACTGTATGTCACAGGCATAACTAATGAAAACCATTACTTAGAAAACTACTCTGAAACAGATGGCATTAAAAGGTTTTCAACAATCACTGTGAAACAACTCAATTGATCATGAGCTGATTTCTGTATCAGAGTGGAAATGCTGAACAGGGCGTACTCTCTCCTACAGCCGTTATGCCTCCACTCTCTGGAAATTCAGCCTGGACTCCCAGTGACTTGCTCCCTCCCTCCCCTCATTCAAGGCCCATCAAACGTGCTTCTTTGAATGTGCTTTCAGTCATCCTTCCCGTCCCCCATTCTCCTCAGCTCTCACCCCCAGTTCAGATGCCTGGTTAACAGTGCCAAATGCTTTGTAAATTGCACAGTACAGTATAGTATTATGTGTGCTACAATTGTCTAACAACTAACTGTATGGGATGCAGAATATTTTCAACTCTCAACCTACCTTTTCATTCCAGTTCCAGACTGCTCTGTGCCTATTGTTATTGCAAACATATAGCGGAGATGATCTCAGTATAATTGTTGAAAGCATGTTCAGAGATACTTTTGCCCAATGAGGAGAGGTTAGAGTGAGGTCCCATCTGTCTGTTCTTCAAGTGGATACTAACCATCGCATTAAAGATCATTCTAAGAGAGAAGAGAGTTTCTCCCAATATCCTGGATGATAATCTTTCAGATCAAGGCTATGGTAGCTAGGCTTTGAATGTTGTGTTTGCCTACAAAAACAATTACCACTTGAAAATAATTACTGGTTTGTGATATTTAGATGCAATAAGGTATTATAAAAGTACTCAGCTATAATAATGCAATTTTGTTTTGATCAGCCAGGTGTCTGACAGATGCAAAACAAACAGAGTTCCGTGCACCCCATCTATAAGAGATTAGGGGGATGCGTGGAACTCTCTATTTGGTTTGCACACCCGGATGACCCCAAACAAATGTTTTTCTTTCTGCTATAAATTTTGGAAACAGAATTATGCACACAGCAGTCTGTAGCAGAATGAACAGGTGGGTTTGTTGTTGTTGCTGGAAGTATTTAGTAGGATCACTGGAAACAAAGTTATATGTTCTTCTGTTATAGAAGACAAAATAACAGCAACAACTTGTACTTGTGTAACACAGTTAAATGTCTCAAAATGCTATACAAACAGATTGGGATCCAACCAGGGTGAGAGAATGGGTGGTGGTGGGGGGGGAAGACATGGAGTAAGACAAATATGGCCAAAGGTGCAGTCAAAAAGGTAACTTTTTTTAAAAAAAAATGAAGCAGAAATGGGAGAATGATAGGCGGAGGGATTTAGTGAGAGTGCGGCAGAGAACATCGCAACTTATGTGAAGGCTTGTCCAGCGATGGTGGGGTGGATGGTCAGGAGTTGTGAAATGCAGCAGAGCAGAGGGAGTGGAGGGGACAGTAGGATGGCAGGGGATCACAGATGTCAGGTGGGGCCAGGGGTGTTCTTCCACAAAATGAGCTTTTCCCAAAGAATCAGCACAATATTGCATCCAAAATATTATTCCATTTGTAGAGTTATTGGGAAGGATCCAATGAATAATGTGGAGGAGAGAAAGAACTTGTTCTTCTAGAGCTGCTGGTAAATTTACCATCCACAAATGACAGTATAATATTCCCCATTGGCATGTAAATGTGCGGACTTCTGTTGTGTCCGTTTATCATAGGAATTACCAGTGATTCACATATGTGTCATTAACATAGTCCCTCCTCCCTCCCTCACCACCCCCATAACGAAAGGCTTTTATTCTCTTTCAGTTTGTATTGAAAAAAGATACAAGGCACAGAAAATGGTAACAACAGATATTCATCCCATCAAGTTGTCTTGTTGACAGCCTTCCAAAGACCACCTGTGTAGTTTATTACAAATATGCATCGATAACAATTAAACATTCAAAAAAAATTGGGAGGAAGAGAAGAGATTTTCCCATTAATTATTTTTCCACTGACACCTTCAGCAGTAGTCATGCATCGGGCAGGTACATAAACGATGGCACCACATAACAAAATAAAATACTGAGTTTATCATAATTATCATAATATCATAATTATTACCAATCATGACAGTGCTAATAGTGTTGATAGAATTCTGGTGTAATTCAACTTTTTTTAAAAAAACAACTGTGCTCAATATTCATCATTTCAAGTGGCTTCACTACATAATGTCCAGCCTTACTTCATGGCAAAAAAAAACTCCAAATATTTCAATCAACAGGCTTAGAGGTTGCTCAATTCCATATTTGGAACATTTTTGCAGAAACACAGAAGTAATGTGGGAGAAGATAGGTGCTTTGATCAATCTTTTATATGTGACATTTGGACAAAACACTGATTCGACATCAAATGCACCAAGCATTACATTTTTAGTCAATTAACTGTTTCAAATTAAAAGTGGGCTCAGGATGGAGAGCTTTAACATAAGGTTAAACTAAGGTTAAACATAAGAGTAATGTAGGCCCTTGTGAAAACATTAAATGTTCATTCTTAGGTAACATCCAATATCTGTCATTTTGCTAATTTTGTTGAAGACTCCTGATTCTGAGGATTGAGAAATATCCCATAAGATTTATTTTTATTCATCAGGGTCCTTTAAAAAATAAACATGATTGTGAAAGAATTAAATACAGCAGTAAATTTTAAAGTGGAACAAAACGTCACACACAGCTGTGCTGATTACATTTTTGTAATGTTCAGCTCTCAATCATAAACACAATAGCCCTTATTCAATATTTCAGCAAATACTGTCTTCCCAATTACAGCATGTTTAAAAATTAGCACAGATCAGGTCTTATTACATTTTCTGTTGTTTCATAGACTCCTCATTCCGTATTTCCTGGTTTATTCCCCAGTAAATCGAGGTGGCCGTTTCTCTTTAAAGGCAGTAAGACCTTCAATCCTATCCTTTGTCGGAATCACCTGCAATTTTAAAATACAGTGAATTCAGTCTCAGTGGAAAGTGAGACAAGATTGCAGGAGATGTATTGGGAAGGTGAAAGAAGAAAAAGGTGGTTTAGGGAACTGAAAAGGTTCATACAGATACAGATAGGAAAACTACAAAACTAAGTCTAAATTGACATAAATTGATTATTGAGTATAATGTCGGATTCTGGGCAGCAACCTTTGGGCAATGTAATAACCACTGGAAACAGCGCTGGTGCATCCACAACCTGTTGAGTCAACCTGCTCCTGTTGTTAATTACAATGCGCAGGAGTTCGGAGCTGGGTCAGTTACATTCAGACTTTGTTTCAAGTTGACTGATCTCTAACAATCCGAGTTAAATGGCCAAGCTTCCCATTCTCTTCTTGAAAATGAGCTAGAACGGGAAAGGATGAGACTGTTCTCTGACAGGGACAAGGGATTAAAGAACTATGTGTTCCAGTTATGCCACTTTGATCAATGCATAATAATGTTGCATAATAATAATTAAGGGTACTCCCTCATCGGCCTTCCCAACTCTTCCCTTCACAAGCTGCAGATCATCCAAAATTCTGCAGTTCATGTACTCTCACGCACCAGGCTTCGTGACCTCATCACTCCAATCCTCGCCCGACTCCACTGGTTCCCCATTCCCCAGAGGATCGAGTTCAAGATCCTCATCCTCACTTTCAAGGTCATCCATGGCCTTGCCCACTCCTACCTGTCTGACCTGCTGACTCCCTACCAACCTGCTCGCTCCCTCCGTTCAGCGGGCTCTGGTCTGCTCCACGTCTCCCACCCGACCCACCCTACCATTGGTGGCCGAGCTTTCAGCCTCTCTGCCCCCACACTCTGGAACTCCATTCCACGGTCCCTTTGCCTCGCTTCCTCCCTTGCCTCCTTCAAGGTTAGTCTCGATATCCTTCTCTTCGATCGTGTCTTTGGTAGCCCTCCCACCTCTCTGCCTTCCCTAACCCCTACCCCACCACTCCCCTATGCTCGGGCCCCGACACCTAACTGTTCAGCGCTTTGGGAACGTGCTCCCGACGTGAAAGTAGCCCTCCCACCTCTCTGCCTTCCCTAACCCCTACCCCACGACTCCCCTATGCTCGGGCCCCGACACCTAACTGTTCAGCGCTTTGGGAACGTGCTCCCGATGTGAAAGGTGCTCTATAAATGTAATTCTGTTGTTGTTGTGATGTGGTTTGTACATGAAATAACATTGGATGGCTATGATTGAAAGCGTTTTGAATAGATTTGCAAATTAAATATATAACGGTGCAGCACAGAAACTCATCAATACAACTGATGTTTTAATATTCCTCTTATCAAGCATCTGTCTGATTCCTTAAAGAATTTATAGATCCTGCCTCAACTACTGTGTGTGGCAGAGAATCTATATTCCAACCATTTTCTTGGAAATAATTGTCTCGAACCTCCCATTTAATTATTTTTGTGGTATATTGCAAATTGTGCACCAAATGTCATTACTTGATCCTCTGTACATCACAAAGCTGTGGTTCCTGCTATTCCTTAAATAGTCTCCAAAAGCAACAGGACTATGAAGTGATTACCCTGAATGTGATTTTCTGTTGCTGATCACTTTCCAAGAAAGAACACAAGCTAAACAAGCTAGTGAGCCCAATCAGAATGTTAAAAAGGCAATCTAAAAACAGCCAATACGAGGAATGTGATGAGGATAACCTTGGTTGCTACCCAACTGTCTTCTCAATAGGAGGCTCTCATGAGATAGTTGTTTTCATGAGGATCCACATGCACATTTCTGTTGCCTGAGTTGAGCCAAGAAAAAACAGCAAGGCATATGGCTTGGCAAGATTAACACAAGAGAAAAATAAATAAAATATAATTATTAAATAATGATCTGTAATGTTATTTAGGATCTCTTCCTCAATGCCACAATTTCTACGGGGGTTCCTGAATTTCCAGAAAATTTGTCTCCAAATTCAAGCTGGTGTGAATCTGCCAAAATCAGTAGTGTTTTGATCTCCTGTGGTTTCTGTAGTTGTGTCATGTTTTCAATTAAAAATACTCACACTGGTTATATTAGCCAAATAATGTTACACAATTTGAATTGTTTCCTTATTCTTAGTTTGTTTTAGGTGAAAACAGGAAAAATTCTTTAGCCTGTTGGACAAACACAAACAGAATCCAGAAGTACTGGAACATCCTAAACTATACACACATTTACACTCTACAAACTTATTACCTGAGCGTAACAGGCCTCCTCTATCGCTAAGCCAGTCGCCAAGTCAACCTACAAAGAAAACAAATATTACTCAATAATCACATTTTATTACCTCACTTCCCATTTTAGTCGGAGAAATTGGATAGGTTCCATGCACATGGCCTGAAAGCTGGGAATCACCGGACCACTAATTTTTGGGGGCTATGGAGATTTTGCCCCTCCTCAGCAGATCAACACCGGAAAATAATTACTGAATTTAAAAAAAAGGGAACACTCTGAGGCCTAAAATGCACAAAATAAAATAGCCCTTGCTTCAGAAAGAAGTGGTGGATGCTGGAATCTGAAAAGAAAGTGATTACATAGAAGGCTATGCTACAAACTACAGTATACCCCACTATTTCATGCCCATCTCCTCATGCAGATCTTTAACTGATACCTACCAGTTTTGCAATCGAATCTCTGATCACAGTATGTAAGTTCATTAGCAATAATCAGCAAAGATCTGGCAAGCTATCAACTATAAGTAACACTGTTCAGAAAAGTAATTACTCAGCTGCTAAACACAATATGTGCCAAACAGAAGCTCTACCGCATTACAAATGCAGTCTATAATTAAAAGCTTTAATCATTCCGAAAGAAAACCCCCAACTTAAAAATAAGAAAACCATCGCGGTCTTACATGCAGTTTATAATTAGAAATTCCAAACGAGTTGACTAGAAATTGTGCAGATAAGCTGGAGATCCTGTTCCCAGAGTTGACATCCATGAAGCCATGCAGCGCATTCAACTGCTGATGAGTAGGATTGTAGCCTTATTCTGTGCATTTTGCAATCAAAGCCATGTTCCTGCTAACCAGCAATCAAACACTGTAAGCTCAAAGTTAATTATGAGACTCATTTTCACGAATATTAGCGATGAGAACAGTGTTGAGGGTTTCCGTCTCTCTCACAAATAGTTACACAACAACAACAACAAAATCATATTTATAGAGCGCCTTTCACGTTGGGAGGACGTCTCAAAGAGCTGAACGGTCAGGTGTCGGGGCCCAAGCATGGGGGAGGGGTGGGATAGGGGTGAGGGAAGGCAGAGGAGGAAGGTGGGGAAGGGAGACTAAACAAACGATCAAAGAGGAAGGTCTTGAGACCGGCCTTGAAGGAGGCAAGGGAGGGAGCGAGGGGAAGGGACCTTGGGATGGAGTACCAGAGTGTGGGGGCAGAGAGATGTGAGTCACGGAGCAGACCAGAGCCCGCTGAGCAGAGGGAGTGGGCAAGTTGGTAGGGAATCAGCAGGTCAGAGAGGTAGGAGGGGGCAAGGCCATGGATGGCCTTGAAAGTGAGGACGAGGATCTTGAACTTGATTCTCTGCGGGATGGGGGAGCCAGTGGAGTCGGGCGAGGGTTGGAGTGATGGGGTCACAGAGTCTGGCTAATTCCCATTCAATATTATAGGAATTTCTCAATTTAAACTACAGGCTAGAGACCCCATTATTATGTCAGAATACAGTTGTTGAAAGTAAGACATTCTGTATGTTGGAATGAAGGATGAGTCATTTTAAATAAATAAATGATAATTGTGTCTGAATCATAATAAAATACATTTGCAAGATTTGCACAGGTATAAAAAAAGCAGAGCAAGATTTACCTCTGTCCCTCGGTCGATGGCTTGCTTTGCCAGTCTCACTGCAATAGGCCCCTTAAGAGTGAGAAGAAAGGTAAATCATTGGCACAGGTTGTCACATACCAAAAATCTGAGACTGAGCTGCTTGCGAAGTTTTATCCCCACAAAAACTGCCATAAAAATCATTTTGTAAGGACTTTTTTTTAATAATAGTAATATTTTAGTTTTAGATTTGTTAAGACATTGTTTAAAGCCATTAAGTGGAATCCATGAAAAACTCCATAACTGAGTATACTGACTGGAAAGTAAACCCAGAACGACACTGTCTGATACATTAAGGTTTGTGAAGGATTCAGGACAGACAAAGAGCGTAATTAAAGCCTAGACCTTAAGAAACAGCTTGATACTGTAATGGGTATTCTGGAAAGATGATCAAAAACTTGATCCAAACCTCTCTTTGTGATTTTAAAGAGAGGGTTAACTCCAGATTCAACCTGGAGTTAGTAATCTTACCAAAGGGGAAGATGCTAAAGTCACTCCACAGGCATGACAGAAGTGAATAATACTGGCGGATTGTTGGAATTCAGCAAAACGATGTGTACATTTTGTTTTTTACATATGTGCACACAAAAGAATTTAATTCAAAACTGAACATTTAAATTGTTGTGAGCAGCCATCATGAGATAGCATTTTTTCCACAACACAAAGGTCAACATATTGTCTCATAATTTGAGTACAATGATCGATTATTATTGCACAAATGAATGTAAACTATTATATTATTATATTATAATTATTGTTATTATATAAACTGCACTGAAAGTCAGAAACAGCAGGAAGCCCAGTAATAAAAAGATTGCCTTCAAATGATATGTCTGTTAATCTTTGTTAAAATGAGCCCTCACCGTTCAAGAGAGTAATGCTTTTTAAATAATATTTTCTACAGTGCAGTACCCAATAAATGCATGTATCTGAAAGTATGTGCAATGAGAAAGAATGATTATTTATGAAATGTAATAAGTGTTGAATTTGCACATAGCAGAATGCTTACTACTTTACTTGTATTAAGTGGATTGTTGTCTAATTTCATGTTTCAAAAATATGCGCCTTCAACTCTGAAATGCATTAAGAGTCAATACATAAACTTTACTGTAATTTCAGTGTGCTTATCACAGTGCTATTATTTCACAGTTAATGTAAGTTTTTGACAGGATTCTGTTAATATAATGAAAGACCTAAGAGCATTTAGTAGCATAATGAATGGTGGTATGCAAAAAATAGTGACCCACCAACAGCAGAGTAGTATTTTAATTTGGTGTTTAACATGGGAAAGAGCAAGTAATGTTTTCAGAGCTGCAATAGTCTTCTCTCATTTCTTCCATGACACACAGGCATTAGCCTGATGGTACACACTGCAGCCCTTTGGAGCAAGGGTCAGTGAACCCATTTAACTATTAACTGCTACATAGTCTTGCTCTGTACTCTAATGTGACAAGCATAAAAGCATTCACATAAAACTCCCCAGTGTAAATTCCTTCATACTACACTGTACAAAATTACTTATAATATTAGTAATAGGAATTGTTCCAGCAGAAATATGGATTCTATCCTTGGCATTGCCACAAAGTTATTCCTTAGAAGTATCCCATATTATTACACATGAAAAAAACATTATTGGTAACACAAATCTTATAAAAATGCAAAGCTTTGGTAGGCTAATGCATGAAACCTGAAAACAATCAACGGTGACAAATTCCATCTGATAATCTACCTTTGTCAAACAAAATCACACAAAACTACAAGGCTCTTCTCATCTTCCTCACTCATACACACAAATAGTCTGCAGTGCAACAGGTTACACATCAAACAGCTTACATTTATCTAGCATCTTTCAAATTGGGAGGGCAGTTTAAATTGCTTCACATTGAGATGGAGCTGAGGAGATAGTGTTAGAAAGGTGTCTGAAAAGTGGAGAGTACAAGGCAAGGAGAAGACACTCTGAGATGGAGTTCCATAGAGGGGGAATGCTTTTAGAATGTCTGAAAGCTCGTCCACCAATTGTGGGGCGAAGTGGGATGGAGACATGAACCAGGTCTGTGTTTGCTAAAAGCTGATACAACACGTAAAAGCCAAATGCAACAAAAGCAAATTCTGAAAAAAATAGGTGTTACTCTCCTTTTATTTAACTTTGTACTTACCCCCAAAACATCAGATGTGAAATGATTGTACATTGTTTCAGTGGAAATGTAAGAATGTGGTTCTTTCAGGGATATGGATTCCTGACAGCTTTTGTAATAATTATAATAATAATCCTTGCATTTGATTTAATAATAATAATCCTTGCATTTAATATAGCGCTTTTCACGTCTTTTCAAAGTGCTTCTGTGAAACCGCTTCACAGAATATGCTGTAAATTGAATTGACTGTATATATTTGTGGGTGAAACGTGGCAGCCAATTGAAAATGATTGAAAATGACCAATTTATTGTTGTTTTTGTTTTTTGGCGGGATTATTATGAGGGGTGTGGAGTAAGGAAAGTTGCCCAACGTTTCGCCCTGCCTGGAATTGAACCCAGGTGTCTCGCTTGCAAGGCGAGTGCTCTAACCACTGAGCTACAGGACTCCAAGTGGAGTTAGAGAGTGATACTAGTCCACTTCGGTGTTTATACTCCATACAAGCCCCCACTACCCCCTCACTCGCATACACAACAAGTTTTCTGTTAAATACTGTACATTGAAGCGATTTACTTCACCCATGAATGCAATACAGACAGAATATCAGTGTCTACTTGTCAATGTCAGAAAGAATAATATCGACTTGTCGAGTAACACTGGCAGTGAGAGAGGCCATTTAGTCACCTTGCATTCCATCGAGAACGTCAGAGAGAGAGAATTACACAGCGAGCTTCTGACAACATATAGCGTCTTATGACATCTTATAGATGTCTCAAAGCGCTTCACAGAATGTAGTGTAAAGCGAATTGACTGTATATTTTGTGGGGCAAACGTGGCAGCCAATTGCGCACAGCAGTGACCCACAAACAGTCATGGATTGAGTGACCAATTTATTATCATTANTTTTTTTGAAGGAATCATTACCACTGGAAAAGTGATCCACCAATCGACTAACAACCGGGTTCCTACTTATTGCTAAGTAGACAGAGGCGTGTGGAATAAGGAAACTTGCCCAACATATCTCCCTGCTGGGAATTGAACCCGGTCTCTCGCTTGCGAGGTGAGCACTCTAATCACTAAGCTACAGGACTCCACGTACTATCTTATAAACTTATCAAGGCAAAACATTAGAATAGAGACTGTACCTGTAGTATAAATTCTTTTGCTAGGGCTAAGGCCCTCTGATAGGCTGCGTCCCCGGCTTCATTCTGCTCCACAACGTGACTAACCAGACCAATTGCTTTTGCTTCAGTGCCGTCAAGTACTCTTCCAGAGAAGATAAGTTCCTTTGCTAGAGATATTCCCACAACTCGGGGGAGACGCTGTGTGCCACCTATATTGGAGAACAGCATATATCGTGAAACACTTTCCTATTTTTCAATAACTATCAATGCATAACTTTTAATTTTCACCATCATTTAATCCACAAAAGGGTATTGTCGTCCAATCCCCCCATCCGAGCATGGGATAACCAATTCTAATTGAACCATTCCATACCCTCCCTGCTCCGCTCCTTACCCTCCCTGTTCCACTCCACACTTTTCCTGCTTCACTCCATCCCAACAACAACTTGCATTTATATAGCGCCCTTCATGCCAGACGCAATACCTTCCCTGTCCACTGCACACACTTCCCTGCTCTTTTCCCCAAACTTTATTTACTTTGCATCTCTCCAAATACTGATCCAATTCCTTTTTAAATATGATTTTACCTTCAGCAGCTACTTGTGGAAAGCATTCCATGTTGCATAGATAATTTTCTGTCATCTCTATTAACTTATCAAGTGATAGTCCTGAGTTCATGCCCCTGTGTTACCAATTTGCCAAGCAATGGGAATAATCTTTCACTATTTATCCTCTCTAATAAAATCAAAAATCTTATGGGCGTTCCAACATGGTCAACTGGTCAACATCCGAAATCAGCTGCAGTACAAAACCAATTGATAGAGCTGCCAATACATTGATTTGATTTCTAAAAATATATCCTACACATGGCTGAGAATCGATTTGATGCATTTTAAACCTAATTTACATTGCACTTTCATCATTGATTTCATATAAAACAACATTAAATCAACATGAAAATGTTGATTCGATGCTGGCACTGCAGTTTGAATGAAGAATAACTGACTGATGCAGTTATATTGACAAATTTGTGTGTGTTGGTGTTATAAGAGGTCAAAACACTTGCAAATAAGTCATGAGAAATGGCAGGTGTCAACTAATGTCACATTATGACATGTTGGCACACTGGGACTCACTAAATAAAATATGAGATTTCCATAATAAAAAGACAATGCTTTGGATGAGTCATGTATCAATTCCTTTGAAACCATACATATTAAATTATCCTTATTTCAGGGCAAGTTAAAAAAGCAAAGCAGTACAAAACAAAGCAGTTGTGAAAAAAAAGTTTGAGTGGGATGTAGCAGCTTCAGTGCAACACAGGACCTTTGTAGCAGGTAGAACACCAAAAATCTCTTTCTATTTGTAGTAATTATAATAATTTGCTATGCCAAGAGAACGGTTGCATATCAATGACAGAACTTTGTTGGAATAGGTGCTTCATTTGTAGTACTAGTACTTTATAAAATAAGGGCAATTATACATGCTGGTACTTGTAGGACAAAGTGCTGCCCTAACATACACATTAAAACTCCTGTATTATTTCTGTTTATTATTTTTGCAAGTTGTCCCTATTGTATTAGTTTCCGTGACAAAGTAGGAGAGCTGGCCCGCTCCAGCCACTTACAGTATGGTCAGTGTTGCCTCTGGTCAACAAACAATCAGGAATTATAGTTAGAGTTATGGAAAGAACATCACTGATCTCAAAGTATGCAAACTCCCCGCTTGTCGGCCTCCCCAACTCCTCCCTTCATAGACTGCAGATCATCCAGAACTCTGCAGCCCGGGTCCTCACCTGCACTAGGCTCCACGACCCTATCACCCCCATCCTCGCCCGACTCCACTGGCTTCCCATCACACAGAGGATACAGTTCAAGATCCTGGTTCTCACCTTCAAAGCCCTCATGGCCTTGCTATCCCCTACCTCTGCATTCTTCTAAGCCCCTACCAACCTGTCCACTCCCTCCGATCAGCGGGCTCTGGCCTGCTTCATGTCCCCTGCCTCGCTCGCCCCACCATTGGTGGGCCTTCAACCTTTCTGCTATGGAACTCCATTCCACATTCAAAACCCTCCTCTTCGATTGAGCCTTTAGCCTGCTCTCCACCCTCCCTGATCCCAATCCTCAGCTCGGGTACAAATCCCTGACTGTTTAGCGCCTTGCGACGTCCTCCTGACGTGAAAGGCGTTATACACATGTAATTTGTATTATATTTTCTATCAATCCCTTCCAGGGTTAGGGAGGATAAAACCAATCAGATTCTTGCTTCTTGCCCCCCTTCAATAGCCTGCACATGGTAGTACATAGTACTGGTAGTCAGCACTGTATACAGTCAAAGCTGTTAAAGCAACCACCTCCATTCAGCAACCAGGCTTGTCGTTGATGCCCTCTAAAAGAGAACTAGCTGCCATAGAATCACACACCAGCAAGAGGAAACTGGAGACCTGCAGAGAGGCGGGTGCCAATTGGAAGAAAATAGTTGGAGGCTCTAAATATTAAAAATAAACAAACCATATCTCCTCACCCATAACACAGTTCATTAGCATTCTGGTTAAACTGACTCACACACACAGGTTAGTCTGGACCTGAAATTGGCAGCTTCTGGGAAGCAGTCAACCCAGTGAAATACCATCTGCTGCACCTGTTCATACTGTTACCACATTGGCTCACCTACTGTCTCAAGTTGAAAAACAGATTGATGTTACCAACTATATAGGTGATAGTGAACAACAAAGACAGCAGCCCAGCTCACCAGGGACTGGGGGGTCGCAGGTGAAAGGGGAGAATGGGTCTTGCCGCTCTTCTGGGCCACACGTTGAACGCGAGTTCAAGCTGGCGGGAGCAGACAGATGGATTTTAAACATCCCTGTGCAGGGGCGTTCTCTCTGAGATACCCTACTGGTCCGGAGATTGATCACAGGCTTTCTGGACAAGATCAGATTCAGGATCTTGAGATTTGGGGCATAAAAATCCCGGGATTCCGAAAGAGCATAGGGTTTGCAACCCCTGCCTGGGGCTGCTTCAGCATGTTCCTTGCACCCGATCAAAGGTAACTTAGGTTGATTTCATGCCTGCTTTGATTCAGATCCAAGGCAGTGAATTCCACACTAAAATACAGTGAAACCTGTCTGCAGCAAACCTTGCTTAGAGGCCTCTTAACCTTTATATTAGGGTGAGGCTGGGTAAGGGTTCATTGGTGTGTGAATCCTCTCACACACCAACGTTGGCTATTCCAAGGTGATTGTTAATAGGGAGTAGCTCCTGAATGGAGGTGGTGGCTTGAACAGATTTGACTGTATACAGTACTGAGCACTGCAACTCTTCACGACATTCATACCATGCACTGCATCTCATTATATCACAAACTGCATCCCTTAAGACTGTTACTAAAAGCATATGGGATCCTTGGCTTTATAAATAGAGGCATAGAGTACAAAAGCAAGGAAGTTCTGCTCCACCTTTAAAAGTCACTGGTCAGGCCTCAGCTGGAGTATTGCGTCCAATTCTGGGCACTACACTTTAGGAAGGATATCAAGACCCTGGAGTAGGGTGCAGAGGAGATTTACCAGAATGGTACCAGGGATGAGGCACTTTAGTTATGTGCAGAGACTAGAGAAGCTGGGATTGTTCTCCTTAGAGCAGAGAAGGCTAAGGGGAGATTTAATAGAGGTGTTTAAAATTCTGAAAGTTTTTTTTTGATTGAGTAGATAGGGAGAAACTGTTTCCTCTGGCAGGTGGGTCCGCAACCAGGAAACGAGATAATTGGTAAAAGAACCAGAGGCGCGTGAGCAGAAGTTTTTTTTACACAGAGAATTGTTATACTCTGGAATGCACTGCCTGAAAGGGTGGTGGAAACAGATTTAATAACAACTATCAAAAGGGAGTTGGATAGGTACAAAGGAAACATTTGCAAGGATATGGGGAAAGAGCGAGGGAGTGGGACTGATTGAGTAACTCTTCCAAAGAGCCAGCACAGGTAAGATGGGCCAAAAATGGCCTCCTGCTTGCTGTAATATTCTATGATTGACAGCTCACCTCCAATTCCCAGTTGCACAATAGACCAGCAGTGGGTGACACTGAACAACAAACGTACCAGACTGGATTGACCTGAGGTTGCATGAGCTATTCGTCATAAACTAAATGCATCTGCTTGCATAACAGTAATGTATCAGTATAATAAGATATGGACACTAATGACCTCTGCAGTAACAAGCATTCTCTTTCATCCTTCACTCATATTGAAAGATTCGGACCATTTCCAACTGGTGAGCTGGTCAATCTACCCTCTGAGTGATCCCAACCCACAAATTAATTGCAACATGTGCAATAAAGTATAACGTTCATAGCTTATTGATTTTGAAACTGTAATTTGCAACCCTGTCACCAACTTACTGAGCTCTGTTCAACAAAACAGAGTTCTCCTTTCATTTTCATGAACAGGATTTAGCCGTTAGAATATTAGCAAATAGTCAGCTGATTTAATTATAGGTCAGACTCGAGTCGCCTAACTGGCACCAAGAAAAGTCAAATCTGTACAATCATTTTAAAACACTTCTGTAAACAGAAATGAGAATCATTGTCATGGTAACAATTTAAATTTAAGTTTAAACTAGCATCGGTTGACCAAGTTTCATCTTTAAATTGCATTCTTTTGATAGGAACGTTGGTTCAAATGTCAATGTTCAAGGTGTCCTGAATTTACCGTGACTTTTAATTGCAATTGTGAGATAACTGTACCAAGAAATGTTTATGTACAAATTTACTCAGCTGATGAGAATGTCACAATGAGTCATGAGGCAATGTTATTACATAACTTGTGAAGAAAAATAGCACCACTCTCATTCCAGTAAATTCTGAAACTCCAAAGAACCAACAGAGTTCAGCTCATGATCACATTTTGATTTGCTTGGAAATTAAATTCTGATTTTCGTCCTTTTTTTGCTCAAGGCTATAACACTCGCTGATGGTCCTGTTCCAAGGGCACCAGCATGCTCAAGTGGTCACTCTTTATTTGCAAGCTTATTGAAGTTTGGCAGGCCTTTGGGCTATCACAGTTGAACGCAGACCTGACCTCACCCAACAGTTTTACATGCAGCTTCTTGCTAGGTTCCCTGGAGAACAACCAAGAGCAGGTACCCTCATCAATTTCTTCGCTCCCTAGTCAAGGAACATAAAGGCCAAATTTAGGTTCTACACTTCAGCCCAGATGA